TTATTGGCATTTTTTACTCACGTGTTGTTTGTTGAATATATTGGTGCTGCATATAGGCGATTTTTAATGAATCACAAGATGATTTAATGAATAACCAAAACAAGTTTTGGTATTCCTACTGCGCTTTTTATTACATTTCACTACGCTTTGACAAATTAAGGTTAAGCTTAAACAGGGCCGATTAAGACTTTTAGAGAACCTAAGTACTTAAAAGATTTTGAGACTTCTGTACAAAGAGAATTCGCTACAATCTAACATTTCCTTTCATCTTTCTATCATTTTCTTTCCGTTTTTTGTTCCGTACATACATACATACATACGAACATTTAACCCATTGCGGACGGAGCGGTTTTGAGTAAACCGTGGGGGCCGAGCTGCTGCCGCGATATTCATTCAAAACTACCAGTGTACATTTCTGCTTAAACGTGATTTTCGTTTATAGCGATGCTGACAATAAGGACATAAAGTATTCCACCACTTAACTTGAGACGTGAGGGTCCTAGGGTCGCAACAGCCTCGGCCCTATCGGTTGTTTTCGTCGAACGCATGTATGCGTTCCTCTGCTAAACTGATGGCTTCCACAAAATACATATATGTGGCACTCGTGCATAAAGGGTTAACTATATCATTGTTAAAAAAAAAAATTAAAGAATTTCTGTGGTAAAATATTGTTTGTTGGTTATTCCAGCACTAGATATAGTAAATTTTAATTTCTTTTAAGAGCTTGGAGTTGCATATAAATGACTTTTGATGCGGTTAAACATTTAATAACTTTGTCTCCTTATATATTACAGAGGTTAGAATTAGGAATAGCAAATTTTTGGTGAATTACACGAACTATTAGAGACACATAATCATTGGCGTGATTCCCTCTTTTTTCTTTTTATTGATTTCTGAAATGATATTATAGTGAGACATACTGAATTCTTGTTGACTTATTTAATATATCTTTAGTTAAGCACGTATTGTTAGCATTGTTCAATTGTTTGTTTCCTATAATTAGATATAACAAATTTGTAATAAATTTCAGAATATTATAATACATAATACCATTTTCGCGAACTGTGTTTTCAAATTTCTTGTCAACGCTATCATTACTAAGGGTTCTAACAATTCTTAGAGATATTAAATTTCAAGATATTCAGTCATATTAATATTTCACATGGAAACATTCAAAATTTAAATATCCTAATCCAAGCACTCAACTTTCAGATATCCATAACACCAATTAAAAACCATGAGGGTCAGAAATAATCAACAAGTGTTACCATACTAACATATAACAACTCCAAACCTCGATCAATAATCAATCGCTTATCTTCCATTTAAAAAGCGATAATTAAAACAAACTTTCGATCAAACAAAAATACAATGCAGCCCATCAATATTTCACCCATTATCGGCGATTTTGCAATCGTTCAAAGTGATCTGCGCACTTTTCGTATATTGAACTACGATGATACGTACGCTAATCTCTCGAGACCTGTCACGCGGTATATCCGTGTGTTTCGAAACTCAGAGAAAATTATTGTCGACGCAGGACTACCGATGGTGCTGTATTGGCCAAATATAGCCTAGAATAGCGGGAGGGACGGTAACCAGTACGCGAGAGGAAGAATTGTCTACCGAGCAATCATATAAACGCCATACGAGAATATTCGCGACACTGATTGGCAGCCATTCCCAAGTGCCAGAGAAATTGCCTCTCATAATTTAGGCATTGCATATGATCCAATGGGTAATTTTACGAAACCTGGATAAAATTGATCGGATAATTGCTTGGGTTGGTTGTAAAAAATTAGGTGAATTAAATTGTTATTGGTAGTGATATTATTATTATTCATTCGTTTGTCGAATGGGATGGTTCTATCTATTTGTTGGTATACAGAAATCTAAATTAACTTTCTTGATATTAGTTAATAGGGCGAGTAACTAGATCATAGAGCTAAAACTATTCAGCTTTTAATTATATTTATTTAATTTGGACGTCAAAGAAGAGATCGGATGTTATCTATGCATGAATGTATATTGATAGAATGAAAATACTATACAAAATAATGTATTGTATAATATGCCCAGTAGCGGAATCTTCTGACGGATATATTTGTCGGCATTGCTGAAAGAATTAGTATAGTATTTTGTATGTTGAAAAATTTTGAGAGATATCTGTATGTCGTATTATTTCTTGAATAGAATCTTTTAGTGTCTTTTAGTGTGATTAGGATTTCAAATGTATGTAGATAAAAATATGCAGAATTGATTAAATTTTAGTTGATCTCAACTCAATTCAGAAATATTATATTTAATTAATGAAGTAATGTTTCTCAATTTTATAAATTAACAATGCGTACAAAATTAAAAGGAAACTGTGTTTTAATTAACGTTTATCATGGTTGCTCTATAATGATACCTTCATTAATAATATCGACAAAATATTGTATATGATTTAATATTTTGTCAATGCTAAATATTACACTTTAATATATATCGAAACAAAATTTATTATTCAATTACGTAAATCATGAGAAAAGATGGTAATACGTGAAAATACGTACATAAGTAAAACAATATCGAGAGTTGCAAATTAGCTTATTAATGAAGCTTTAATTGTCTCTCACACCAAATTCTCTGGTAATTTATTTGATTGGTGTACATATGCTCCCTGATAATAATGCAAAATTAACAAAATATTCAACCGATACTAGAAATTAATAATTATTACAAACGTTGTGTTATCCACAAATTTATTAATTACGTTACGCAACGAGAAAATATATAAACTTCACAAATAAATGACACCAAGGTTAAATGTTTCAGACCATCATCAAATTGTTATATGCTTCGCAAATATTTATCAGAATATAAACGTAAATGGGTTTAAATTTTAAATAACATACACTTTTTGAATGTACATTTTAATTGCTTTTTTACTTTATATTTAACATAATGTACATTTGCTAGATTTTAGCTATTTAGATATTTTTTAGATATTTTTATAAAACTAATATCAAATGAAAAAGAATTGACAACAAGTGCTTATAACTATACATATAGTATTAAGACTAAAACTTACAGATCTATATAATATGCAATTAAATACACTATACACAAATAATAATCATTAAAATAGTTTAATGAAAATAAATAAGTATGTATCACGTTCCTGCGTAAATAAACTACAACATTAATTTTGTCCAAAATCAGACACATATTTTTAATAATATTCCAAAATATTTGAAGCCAGTCATTTTAATTTGTGTACTAATTCTACGTTTAATATCTGATAAAATAGAAAATACTTATTATAAACTAAAATAATTCTTTTGTAAAAAATATTCTAACGACCTGAAAATTATTACATAAAAAAATATACATCGAAAAATCGCTAAAAAATTTTACTTCAGTAAAAATACGGTGATAATTGTACAAATGTACATTTTTAAATTATTCATATATCGACGAAAATTAATTCGAATGTGAAATTATTCAAGAAGTCAATGTTTCACATAATCATCGCAAAATTATGTCTTAATGCAAAAATCGATTTCTCCCACGTAAATACATTATCCACAATACCTCCATTACTTGAATATTTCTTACATGTACATACACAAGGTAACTCTGTCAATCTACATCTGTGACCCAATTACAATATTTATTCGTTATCATACTTCCAATTAAAAACAAACAGCAACATTTTAAACTCAACGACTCCTTCTAAAGTAACCCACAAAAATTCGCCACTTCTCTCCCGAGACACTCCTGGTAACTCGAAACATTTCAAAATGCCGATTAAATACGGCCATTAACAATTTAAAAACCGGCCGACCTTCTCCCACTCCTACATTCTAGATAACCGCGTGAAGAGCCACTCTTAAACTTCTTTGCTCCGTAAAATCACAAGAGATTCACACAATCAGCCAATTAAGCCATCCTCTATCTCGGTTCAGGGGCACACGCGCACCAGAAAATATTTCGTGAAACGTGGCCGCACACCTGGCCTCACATTCTTTCGCTTTCGAGCGCTTTTCAACGATGGTACTTACGCAAATGACCCCGCGATACTTGGACAATAATGGTCGGAGAAAGAATAAACTTAAATTTTTCACCTGGCACCCAGCGTTCCGGGGTAAAACCATCAAAGCGATTTTACCATGTCTCCCGCCTCTATGTCAATGTTTGCGAGGCCGCGGGCGAGAGAGAACTTTTTAATTGGCTACCCTTAATTAGTTAACCAGCAAAGTCTTGGTAATTATTCTGTTTCTCGCTCCGTTTCCGTATAGCTCGGCTGTCCGTCCTCCTCCTGTCCGACCTGCTGCTGTTTCATCGCTTTTTCCTCCTCCCGCTACATACTCGGCGAAGCTCTCCGTGTTTTCGCTGGAGTTCTTGCTTCTCCGCCTCGGAATCTGCCGAGCTGAGCACGCCGCGTATCAAGCGTTTGCCTGCTATTTGCTGAACTTCATCGCGAAGAAAATGTCAAAATGTTCAAACGTTCGAACGAGGAAAGATAAAAAATACAAACAAAACGTTCACGTGATCGTTGCTATGGTTGCGCGATCACGTAATCAGTGATAGAGCCATATGATCAACGCGATGCTCAGGGATGGAAAATAAAAGAGGGCATCGTCGAGGGTCCCCCTTCACCTTTCCGTTTCCTAATATACATGTATTAGAAAAATGTATTTCAGTTTTAATCACATGTCGTTCACGAGTAGGTATTTATACTTCCTGCCAGTTTTCATTGAACGAAGTATACAAATGTTTGAAATTCCAGATATTTTTGGGAATCCTTGATATTTTCTATTTTAACAATGTACGATCTCGAAGAGTGTAGACTCATTTATTCCACACGATAATAATTAATTAAAATTAGCATAATACCATATATTTTATCCTGGGAAAATGATAATATTAATTTGAATAATTTAATAAGAAAATAGTAATAATAATCCAGAATAGCTTCGTTATTTGTAATAAAAAATATCGTTTCTCTTTTTTAGAAAGTGGTAGACAGATTGGTCCACACGCTTGTACAGTTTGTCAAAACATAGTCGAGGGAAACACGCAGAGCAGAGCATTGCCACGGAGTCAAGCGTCTCAATACGGCCTGCGAGAGGATCAGATTGCACCTGGTGCTCGCGTGTGTAATACCTGCAGGTGCAAGGCCGTTAGAGGGCGGTACACCGCGTGTCCGTTACCAGGTTGTCCGAATTTGAACAACGCAAGCTCGAAAACCAGGGTCAAGAGGCTGCGAGCGTTGCCCGCTAAGTGGCTCGACTTGCCTGCTGAAATTCGTGATCCAATTGTTCAAGAATTCCGTAAGTTTCGTATATACGAGAACGTTGTGAAAGGAAGAGTCTCTGACTTTGAGCGATTATAATATTTGCTAAGAGAAATAAACAATGTTTAGCTTAACATAAAATTTAAAATTCACTCCCAGTGTAAGCTGAAAATTTGTAGCACTTGAATTAGAATAATTAGTGAAGAAAAATATACTTATCAGACACTGAGGAATAAAATAGAAATGTTTAGAGATATCCTTCCACTCACTCATGATTTATATATGTAGGAAAACTGAAAAGTAATTCATCAAATAAATTAATTCAACTACTGATGCTCAATCTAATTCCTAAGAAATTCTTCTCTTCTATAAATTATATTTCAAACATGTTTATTACCAATACATATTAATTTTCTCGCCTTTCTTTATACAGAAATACCAAGTAACGCGACGAAATGTTGCTCGGCCTGCTTCAATCGAATATCTCGACGATTGGCGCCACACCTGACCAGTGGTACCGAGGTGCCCGAGGACACAGCCGATTCCCTTGCTCGACAGTGGACGGACGAGGAATTGGAACAATTGAGGAGAGCCCTACGAGAGCATGGTACAAACTGGGTGAAGGTTGCCGAGCAAATACCTGGAAAGACGAATCATCAGTGCAAGAACTATTACTTTGCCTACCGAAAGAAGCTGAGTTTAGATCAGGTGGTTGCAGAATACTATCAGTCATTAGGTGAAGAAAGGAGACCTTGTTTGACGGATGAAGAAGAGAGTGGTAGCAGTACGAGTAGCTGCGATGAACTGGCGGTAAGCTGTTAATTAGTAGTCTTTCTTGAGAGTGACAGTGCTTTTGTTGGACAGTGCATAATTTTCTGGTAAAATATTTTTACTACATTCACGATCAGTTTTCAGATACTAGAGAGGGGAAACATTCGTATTTTGTGTAATTTTTATGCTAAATCTTGGAAACAATATACTGATATCCAGAGAATTTTATAACATGGTTTTGTGAAAATAATATATTAATTCTAATTAAATAAATTTCTTACTTACTTTCTTATATTCATCTGAAGGTAGAAGCTGGTTTAATATTATTATTATTTCTTAAGAGTATAATTCTAATTCATCTAATATAATTATTTCTAAATTTTGTTTTTTCTGTAGGTCCATGATTCAAGTGATACAGCCAGTGCAGGTAGTCCAGCGAACAATTTGTCCAGTGGAACCCCAGGTACACCAGGTGTCACAGCATCCTCAAATCTACCAATGTCTTTCTCACGATCTACGGACCAGAAGCTCGGTGAGAAGTTAGCGGATATTGCTGTGGTGTCTTTGGTACCACCGGTGAGCATAGGTCCATCACAACAGTCTTCCGCCAGTGGAAGTAGCAACGCTGCTTCGGCTGGTACTAGAGAAGATTATGATAGTTCTGCCACGGTAAGACCAAGTTTTTATCCAGTTATCATTTAAGAGGGAATGCTAGAGTAAATTTTGTAGTTTGTATAGCATTCATGAGAAAAATCATTTTAACATGTTTTATATCATATGAATAGCTGCTAATATTTGAAGCAATCGAGTTTTGCTAAATTAGCTTTAATCCTATGTGCCAAAAAACGGACCTTTATGATACTTTATTTTTGTTAATTGTATTTCTTAAGTGCATTACTTTCAAGTATTAAATCATAAGTTTTGAAATTTCCTTTAATCTCTTAGTTTTAATTTTCAACTTTATTCACTGTATTATAACTTCATTTGGATTATTTTTAATAAACAATTATGTCGTTCTGTTATTTGTGTTCTGAACTTTTTGTCTTAAAATAAATATTATTATGCTATTATAATTATTTTTCTGTCCTATTTCCAGCTGATTATGACATTATTTAATTTCTTCTGTATATTGAACATTTTATTATTATACTTAAGAACTGTCGAAAATAATTGAAATCGTGTAAATTAATTAAATCATACCAAACATGATTTACATGCCTCAAGAATAAATTTAATTATTGAACGTGCTAAAATGATCTCAGTGCTAGTTTATGTTTCGTTTTTCTTATTTTCTTATAATTAAATATGGAAAGAAGTTTGTCACTTGATAGGGCCGTCTGATAGAGGTTCGCTGATTGTTTCAGGAGACGGCGGACGAAGGTCAGGGAGGTACCGATTTAGAAAATAACAGCGTGGTCGTCACATTGACAACTGCCAATAACTCCACGCCGCTGCCACAACAGCATCAACAATCGCATCAACAGGTGCCACCTCCTTCGCATTCACCTCCATCCACCACAAGCAATTCCAATCCCCTCACTGTGAAGGATCTTATGCTTGGTGTTATTGAAATGCAATTGAAACGTAATCCTAACAGTCCAGCTGGTACTGGTGGTTCTTCGGTACCAGTAAACTCTGGAACACCAACGATATCGAGTATATTAAAAACGGATCATAGAAATGATATCACTTTTGTAAGAGAATATAAACCATCCTCCACTATGGCAAATACTAGTATGCCAAGAGACTCGAATTTGGCTACCTTGTCGGTGGTATCTGGCCCTCATCATGGACACCGTTCTGCTCCTAGTCCACAGCAAATTGGTTAGTTGAATAGAAAAGTTGTATGTTATGAGTCATTTATAAGTGGTAGGATAAAAGATAATATTTTTTAACATTTTTTTGTATACCTTCTGCAATAAATTACTAGTTGTGATCTATCTTTTAAATGAATTTATGTAAGGAATAAATTTTGAATGGGAAATGGTATTTTATATTTATATCTATATATTTTTTATATTTGTAACTTTTGAAAAACAAAAAGGAATAATTTTATGCGTAGTTTTCATTGTCGTGTATCGTTTTATTTATATAATTACGATTATTTTTATTTCTTTATACAATTTTGTCACGGAAAATAATTGTTTGTCGAAATTACTCTATTAGGTCAAATGCAAGCAACTATTACCCCTTGTCCACCTGCACCATCGAGTAGCCAGTCATCAACATCGGACATACTTCCAAAGGAAGGTTTAGTCGTGATGCAAGTTCAGCAG